TTTAATACTAGAGGCCCGGTGCATGAATTCGTGCACAGGTGGAGTTCCCTCAGCCTGGCTGGCAATTGGGGACAATCAAGGCTGACCGGCCGGGGGAGGGACCGTGGGAGGTTTGCTGGCGCGGGAGGTTGGCTGTGGGAGCACAGTGACCACCAGGGGGCAGCTCCTGTGTTGAGCATCTGCCCTTGGTGTTCAGTGTGCATCATGGTGACCAGTCAACCGGTCATTCGTCGACCGGTTGTAATGGTCACTTAGGCTTTTATATATATAGATGTAATAGATGGCATTGAGACTCAGATGCATTTTAGAGACTTTCCCAAAATTACTTAATTTATGACAGACCAAATGAGTTGATATATCGATACAGCTACTAGTCTACACTGATAGATACTTAAATATCTGCAAAAATTAAAGTATTTATCATGTAAATCTGTAACTTACTAAATAAGAATCTAGTGGGCATAATATTATATATGAAATTTCACACAAAATGGAAATTTTTACTTAGGCTGCAGAAGAAGGACGAAGAGTACTTATTCGTAATAACAGCCTCTCTTTTTTCTGAAATCCATTTAGCACATTGCTTTTGACAGGCTTTACAGACTCAGGAATATATGTTTCCTAAGGGATCATTTCCCTTGATTTCTATTACTCAATTCTTAAAGTTTTCTAGTTGTGTTGAATTTTCTTATAAATACAGTCATTATAGAGCTCCATTCATTCTTTTTCATTTCAACTCCTTATTAGCTTTTCTGCTGTGGGAAAAAGTAAATCCACCAGTATCTAGCAGGCAATTATCAAAAAAGTCCGAGTCCTTTTGAATGGTGCTTAGTATTTTGAAGCAGAAAAGGTATAATATTCAATTTTTCAATTTTGAGGGTGATAATGACCATTCTGTGACTACAGAACATTAACCCAAGGTACACTTACATTTTGTTAAGTAGGTCATATAGAAGCATATCACTAATGGTTTTCTATCCTAATAGCTGACAAAGGAATAAACAATACAGGGTTCTAAATTAAAATACTGTAGATAGTGAAGCATATTTCTAAGGAAATGCATGTATTCAATGTCAACATTGTGATGAACAGTTTCTATCAAAACTGTCATTAATTTTCAGTTCTTGTCATCTTTCCTATCACTGGTTTCTACCTCACATTGTTTTTAGTATTTCAGTGCATTTATAAATATGAACACTACAATGAAATGATAAAGGGGGGCTTTATAATACTTATCAGTCAAAATGACTCAATAGAATTTAGATATTTTTAATATGAATATTTTGAGACACATTTTTCCAAGGTACTATTTTACCAGATATTTCCATTTTTGGGATTTATATTGAAATCTAGATCAAATCTAAACACGTGCAACAGTTTAAAGATCCTTCATAAATCCTAACTAAACTTATTCCATATTCATAAGCATGAATTAGTATTTAACTTTAGGTTAGTTCAGTAAATGTATTAAAATAGTACTGTCATTTTCAGTGCTATAGTGTTTTAGGTTGGATGGCTAAAAATAATCTTTATTCATTATTTAAGGTTTTCCATGAAACCCTGTTAGTTTCATTCTACCATGTACCACCACTAACAATTCAGCAATTTTTTTCTGAATTATTATTACAGTATATTACTTACCAAATGATTATGTAATTTTGTGACTGGCCCTAAATTATGTCATGAATATGAACTTATTGTGAATTTATTGTCCATATTTATATTATTTTAATTACTGTCATGGTAATTTAGGAAAATTTACTACTGTGAGAAAGATAAGTGAAAACCAACATCCTTGAGTGAGATTCTCCGAAACTGCTGAAAAATGTGAAGTTTTACTCAAATCTTAAAAACAACTTGGAATCTCTTTCTAAAAATTTTTGTCATGTTGCTGATAGATGAATTTATTTATTTACTTTTTCAACTTACAAAGCAAGAATAAAATAGGAATTAATGAAGAAGCAAGATGACTTAAATATTGTATAACGTCATGGTAGTTTGTTGAATATCATTTACTATAACCAGCTTCTATACTGACTAATAAAATCTATTGATGTATCTTTTCAAAAGCCGTTATCCCAATCAAGTATAATTTCTTTGATTATATATAATCATTGTGATCATTTCTAAAGCACAGTGTGATTTTGATAACTGAGAATATAATACCTTCAGATTAGGGTTGGCTTACCTTATTTCTAATTATTCCTTTCCAGGAATTTAATCCACTATTAAAAAGAAAGAAAAATCAACATTTCATTTTACCTCTCTTGGCACCACTGACATTTTCTGTAGACTTTATATTATTTTTCAACATCAAGTGATAGTACAGTGCACCAGAAGCCCTGATAAGCTACCAGACTCAATTGCCATCAGATAAGCTTGTCAAAGATGTGTAATCTAGTCTCCTGAATTCTGATCCAGTGTATTATCTGTCAGGCAAGAGAAACTGGCATTTGTTCTCCCTTTGCTGTGCTAGAATCATCCACTGGATGAGTGACTTCAATTACTTTTTGCAAACAAAAACCTTTATTTATCCTGGTACTGTATATTTGTTCCTTTCTAAAGTTTCCAGTAATTTGTTACATGAAACTACCTGGCAAATTAAAAATAAATTCCTTAGATATGCTAATAATGTCTTAAAGAATATCATGTTGTATAATAATGTTTACTTATTTTAAAAATTCCTTTCTATCAAAATGACAATGAGGTACCATCTCACACCTGTCAGAATGGCTGTGATCAACAGATCAACAAATGATAAGTGCTGGCAAGGATACGGAGAAAAAGGAACCCTCGTGCACTGCTGGTGGGAATGCAGACTGGTGCAGCCACTATGGAAGACAGTATGGAGTTTCCTCAAAAAACTAAAAATGGAACTCCCATTTGACCCAGTGATCCCACTTCTAGGGATATATCCCAAGAAACTAGAAATACCAATCAGAAAGGATATATGCACCCATATGTTCATAGCAGCACAATTTACAGTAGCTAATGTTAGGAAACAGCCTAAGTGCCCATCAGCAGATGAGTGGATTAAAAAACTGTTGTACATCTACATAATAGAATACTATGCTGCTTTTAAAACTCCTACCATTTGTAACAGAATGGGTGGAGCTAGAGAGCATTATGCTAAGCAAAATAGTCAGAGAAAGATAAATATCACATGATCTCACTCATTTGTGGAATATAATGAACAACACAAACTGATGAACATAAAGAGATACAGAGATAGAGAAGCATCAAACCTCAGAGGGAAGGTAGGGAGGGTGAGGGTAAGGGGGAGAGAGCAACCAAAGGACTTGTATGCATGCATATAAGCATAACCAATAGACACAGACACCAGAGGGGTGAGGGCATAAATGGGAGTGGAGTGCGGGGGCAGTGGGAGGATAAGGACACATATGTAATACCTTAATCAATAAAGAAAAAAAATTCCTTTCAAGTTAAAAAAAGAAATTGGTGCCAGACTACTCCACACATACACTTCTAATAGTTATTTTGTAAAATCTATATATATAAAAGCTTAAACGACTGAATGACCGAACAATTGAATGACTGGTCGACCAGTTGCTACGAGGCGCACTGACCACCAGGGGCAGACACTCAATGGAGGAGCTGTCCCCTGGTGGTCAGTACACTCCCACAATGGGAGCGCTGCTCAGCTGACCAATGGGCGCCAGATGCTGGGCTCATGGCTGGCAAGCGCATCTGCAGTTGTGCAAGCCTCTTCTGCCTCCATGGCAGCGCTACCTTGCAGCGGTGGTGACAGGTGCAGCGGGGCCAGGATGAGCAGGAGTGGCCTAGCACCTGGCCCAGGCTCGGGCTCCTCCCCAATCACCTCTCACTTCTCACACTACTACATCCCTGGAGGGATGTCAGACTGCTGGTTTCAGCCCGATCCCCATCGGGGTCCTGGATTGTGAGAGGGTGCAGGCCAGGCTGAGGGTCTCCACCAGTGCACGAATCCATGTACCTGGCCTCTAGTAAGTTTATAATATGGACATTTTCTTCATCTCAGTGCCTATACACTGTCACACCACTTATTAATGCAGCATAATCCCAGAGAGCAGTGTGGTGAAGGCCAGGGAATGTGGGTAAGGACAGGGCCTAGTTCAGCCGTGGGCAAACTACGGCCCGCGGGCCGGATCCAGCCCGGTCGGCTGTTCTATCCAGCCCGCGGAGCCGAAAGAGCGAAGGGCTCTCTTGCTCTCCCCTCCGCTCCTTCACCAGCAGCAGTGTTAACATGTATTAGTTCACACAAACACTCCATCCATGCTTTTGTTCCGGCCCTCCGGTCCAGTTTAAGAACCCATTGTGGTCCTCGAGTCAAAAAGTTTGGCCCCCTGGTCTAGGTGAAGCTGGTCAAAGAGGGGGAAAATGGGGGCATGTGTAATAGTATCAATAATAAAAAATAATTGTGAATGTAATTTGAGAGTTTGTCACATATTTGATTAAAGAATATTCACAAGACATGAGTGATGTTGTTAACACTAGCATCTCCCTTCTTCTAGCACCTTATTCCATTTATAAATAAGAAAAGGATCATGAGAGGCCATTAGCATGATTGAAATTGTTCTACCTGGAGAAAATCTAATTCAAATATGTTTCACAGTTAGTTTAGAGAATGTCATCAACTTGTATAATTTATGCATGGTCCAATATTTCGTTTTAACATCTTATTAGAGTAAATAAAATGATTTAATATACTATCCATGATTTTGCTCATCTTCTAACATATTCACAGTGTATGCATCCCATGATCCTGGCTGTTGTTGCCATGTGTCTATTCCCAGGTCATTCCATTTTCTCTAATTTCTTAGTTATTTTTGTTTATTTTCAACAGACTCTTTTTATCCTTTACCTTCTATTTTAGAAAACGCAAGTGCTTGTTTATACATGTATTTAATTTTCTATTTTATCCAATTTTTATTGAAAGCACCAATTTCTAGATATTTTCCTAGTGGGTATCTAACATTGTTTGCTATTCTTATTTTTAACAGGTCATTGCTTTAGTGATGGACATGTTTACAGATGTGGACATTTTCAAAGAAATAGTGGAGGCATCAACTCGAGGGGTATCTGTATACATTCTGCTCGATGAATCCAACTTTAATCATTTCCTAAATATGACTGAGAAGCAGGGTTGCCAAGTTCAACGTCTCAGGGTAAGAATTCCATGTTTTTTTCCTCGGGTACCATTTTGATATTTTGTGTACTATTTTTTGTCTCAGTCGAATTTAAGACATGTTAAGCTATATTACTCCAAAAGAAAATAGAAAAAAATACATACATATATTGTATTTTTTCAAATGTAACTGAAAGCACATATATTTATGACAAATGTATATGGTGCTTTTCTTGATAGTGAGGCACTTGAGCATCTGAGGTTTTTTTTGCTACCAGTCATAATTAATGCTTCTGTTTTGCATATACAACCTTGAAACTATTGACTCCATGATTCTTTCATGCAGCAGATGTTGCTTATCACAATCATTTGGCACAGTGCTTGGGTTCCATTTGACTTTTTAAAAGGCAGGTGCATTTTAATATTAGTTATTTGGACATTATGAATTTATAACTTGAAAGGATCTTGCAATAGGACTCTTAAGTGATTTATGAAACCATTCCATATAAATGTAAAGTAGTATCTTAAATTACTCTTTTCCTAATGTATTTCTTTTTCGGCTGGTGTTTTAAAAGTTGCTTTTCACTATTTGTCGTTTGGTTATGTGTTTAAAAATTATTTCAAGTACACTGTTTTTGATACTAAGGTTTTATATTAGCATATATTTTACTTTTCAAAATATTCCCTAATTTTTACATTATATTTACGTATAATTCTAGAATATTCGAGTGCGGACAGTAAAAGGCCAAGATTATCTTTCAAAAACAGGAGCCAAATTTCATGGAAAATTGGAACAGAAATTTTTATTAATTGACTGCCAGAAAGTTATGTATGGTTCTTACAGGTAAGATCATTGTGTTCATCTCTCACATTAATAATAATTTATAGAATTTATTAGTTTCAAATTTTATTGTAATCTGCTTAGTTCTTTTTTAATTGTTATAATTCACATGTAACATTATATTAGTTTCAGGTATAATGATTTAATATTTGTATGTAATGCTAAATGATCACCACAATAAGTGTAGTTAACATCCATCACCATACATAGTTACAGAAAAACTTTTTTATCTTTGTGATGAGGATAATCTTTCAAGATTACTTTCTTAGCAATTTTTAAATATGCAATGTAGTGTTATTAACTACTAGAGGCCTGGTGCACAAATTTCTGCACAGGTGGGGTCCAGCTGGCCAGGCCTGATGGGGGCCAATCAGGCCAGGTTGGCAGGGGGGTGGGGATGCGGGAGGTTGGCTACTGGCTCCACCCCCAATCAGGGTCGGGAGAGGCAATCAGGGCCCTGATTGGGCCAGTTGGCCGCTGCAGTGTACATCATTATAACCGGTCGTTCTGTCCTTCTCGTCACTTGGCTTTTCTATATATAGATAGTCACCATACTGTACATTACATTCCCAGGACTAACTTAGTTTATAACTGGCAGTTTGTACATTTTGACACATTTACCCTTTTTACCCATCCCACACCTCCCTGCCTCTGGCAACCACCAATCTGTGTTCTGTATCTATAAACTATTTTT